AGCTATGTCCAATTCACAGAGCTCACGGAGCAGCATGCTGTTGAGTATCTAAAATACTCCCAAAGTTTAGCCGGTCGAAGGCGTGGCCTTGTAGCTGGAACTTGTCCGGGAGAATCCCACTAACACCAAATGCAGTGACGCTTCAACACACGTAATGCGAGTCAACGTATTTATGCAATCAATTACGTCGACGAATCGCCACAGCTCTAATTATAACCAAACTTGCCACCAAATTTCACTGAAATCTATTATGAATAAATCCTGCTAACTAACTAATTCAGATGAAAAATACAGGGCCAAACACATACAGTACATTAACATCCTTAGTAGAAGTAATAAGACAAAAACATAAAATTTAAATGTTTCCTCCTCTCTGTCTGTCTATAAATCATTAATATACTGGGTGTGGTTGCAGCTAATGATTAATTTCATTATTGATCTGCTGATTATTTCCTCAAATAATCTATAATATTGTAAGAAAATGTAGTTATGAAAAGTGATTATTTCCTTCAGCCTAAAGTGATGTATTAAACTGTTTTTCAAGTGTTTAGTTTACTTTCATATGACTGAATTGAAAACACAAAATCCTGACATTTGAGAAGCTTGATCAAATGTTTGACATTTTTTCTAAATTACTAAATAATTATCAAAACCGTTGCCTGCAGTTGTAACGGGTGTGGTCGGGTGTGTGAAGGATTACTCCTGGGATCACTTCTTTTCCACGATTTATTGGCTCGCACATCTGCAGAACACAATGCACACATCAATTGCCCCTGGCCTCCTCTTACATTACCTCTGCTTCCCTCAGCGGTGCAAGACGCAACTGAGCGCTTCATGTATTCAAAATACATTACAAAGACATTACTCCAACATCACATGAGTCACTCTGCTCATAGTGTACATAGTGTTCATAGAAAGCCATTAACACTGTTCAGAAAATACTAAATATTAAATGCAACAACATAAAAACAGTACATAGGTTTCCTTAAAACAACATCGCCTAACAGCGACACCTGGTGGTCTGAATAAAAAGTGTGTGTGGGAGGTGACAGAAACAACAAAAGTTACATTAATAAACAGAAGGAAAACACATACCTGCAGAACACAATGCACACATCAATTGCCCCTGGCCTCCTCTTACATTACCTCTGCTTCCTAAACATACAAAAATACAGCGTTTACTCAAGTGACAAGACGCTGAAAACTCCGACAAGTTACATAGGTAACATGACACGGCCCGCCTGCCGTGGTAAAACTGGCGCCAGAAAGTTAAAAGGAAAACACTGATAAAAACGTATTTTAACGGTCACACTAATACAAAACTGCTACGTGACATAACCATATTTACATGGCACAATTTGTGCTTAAAGTTTTAACGCAAATGGTTCAATTTCCAAAGAAAACAATACATAAACCCAGCAGCACTTTTCCACACAACTTACCCTCAGCGGTGCAAGACGCAACTGAGGGAGACGAGCACTACGGAAGCTTAGGAGGTACAAAAGGGGTAGTGTGCAGCTAAGGACATTTCCACAGGAGAAAAAAAATAGCAAAAATAAATATAAATAAAAATAACTCAATGAGATAAAATTCACAAATATTCAATAAAATCATTAAATGATAAATAAAATCCACAGATGCACATTTGGAAATAAGAATTATTAAAGTGCATTTTTAACTCCGTTACACTCACCCCCACTGAATTTTATCGAACTTGGGCATCAACTACACAATAATCACTGAAGAAAACATTACAAAGCGACAAATTACACAGGGTCAGCATCAAGAAAACCAACACTAAATGTATCCCATAAGGATGGAGTGGTGTGAGGGCAGCGCTAATCCCTCAATCCAGCAACCGGCAACAGGGGTGCCTTGTACACCCCACAAGACCCTAACACAGTGCAGTGTAGGCCCACAATAGTAAAATAAGTTTACAGCTGAACAGAATATCAATTACCAATACAAGGAAACTTCAGACCAAAACACAGGCCATATGGAAGTGCTTCAGTCAGCAAAAGCCTGGAACATGGACTTGCAAGCAGTCTTAACATCAAACTTTTCTTGAACAACGTCCTGCCTGGACATGGTTTGTATGAGTCTGTTGACTGGTCTGACTAAGCGACCAAATCTAGACCTAATCTGTGTGAGCGTACGGGAGTCACCAGAGTGCATAGGCAAGGTCTGAATAGTAGTGTGCAGAGGGTCTGACAAATTGTCTGCCTGTGTCACAGTGTTGTGATTCGGCTGTCTTGTATTTGCCAGGACGTCCACAGCAGTCACAGGGCTAGAGTCATAAGTCGTGTCGTCCTCAAGCAAGACTGGGGAATCTTGAGGGTCACAGGTCACGCTTGTTACATCAGCAACATCTGACTGACTTGGTACAGACAACTGTGTGATCCAGTCTATGGTTCGTCTCTCAGAGTCCGCAGGCTCTGCGTCAGTCAAGGGGCTCTGTCCCTCTACTACAGTCACTGCTGAGTGCCTGTCACTTCCGTCAACAAGGCTGTCACTGGCTGTGCGAAGAGTCCTGCTCACTCTCTCGGAAGAAGTCTCACCCGCTTCTCTCACATCATCAGGTGTGTGGGCTGAGGATACTGCAAAAGACATGGATGAGTCATGGTCAGACAGTCCAGATGAGTCACCCACAGGAAGGAAATTGGCCAGCATCAGCAGGTTCCTGTGGATCACTTTCTCCTGGCCGGTGATTGTGTCGCGAACCCTGTATGTGTGTGTCTCTGCATTCATGTCCACCACAGTATAGAGTGTCGATTCCCAGCGGTCAGCGAGCTTCTTTTTACCCCTCTCTTTCCTGTTGGCCAAGAGCACCCTGTCACCAATGTCAATTTTGGAGCCTTTCACTCTCTTGTTGTACAGCTGAGCATGTCTATTCTGCTCCTTTGCAGCATGGTCTTGTGCAATAACCATTGCTTCTTTAGATCATCAGCGAGACATGCTACGTACTTGTCATAGCTAGTCACAGCAGGGTCATGAAGGACACTCCGAAAGAGGACGTCAACAGGTAGGCGAGGGATACGACCAAACATGAGGTAAAAGGGGGGGTAGCCAGTCGTCTCATGGGCTGTACAGTTGTACATAAAAGTCAGAGTCTGCAAGCGTCGTGGCCAGTCAGCTTTCTCTGCAGGAGAAAGTGCACGGATCATGCCACCCAAGGTTCTATTAAATCGTTCCACACTGCCGTTTCCCATAGGATGATAAGGGGTCGTGTGTGATTTCCTGACACCTGAGACTTTTAGCAGCTCACTGATCAGCCGACTCTCAAAGTTCGCTCCCTGATCATGTGGATCCTCTCTGGGAATCCAAAGACGCAGAAGTACCGGTCCCAGAGAACTCTTGCCACCTGCTTAGCCGTCTGATCTTTACATGGAAACGCCTGAGCCATCCGTGTAAAATGGTCTGTTATCACCAAGACATCGACAGATTTGTTTCTGGAATCTTCGGCCGACCAAAAATCAATACAAACAAGCTCCAGTGGCCTAGTTGACATGATACTCTCCAAGGGGGCCCGTCCCTCAGGCTCAACTGTCTTGCTGACAACGCATCGCTGACAATGACGAACATAGTCTCTCACATCCCTGTCGAGGTTTGGCCAGAAAAACCTCTGTCTTGCCAAGCTGAGGCTCCTGGACTGAGCTTGATGTCCAGCTCCATCATGAACTCCCTGCAGAACGACAGTCTTTAGTGAGTCAGGAACTACATACTGGAAACGCTTTGTCTTCGTTTTCTGGTCTCTTGAAATCCTGTACAGCACACCATTGCTTACAGTGAGCCTGTCCCAATGCTTCAAGTACCGTGTGACATACACTGACTCTTTGAACCTTTCTCTCCTAGAAGGCCTCCGACGTCTCTCAACATAGGACAGAACACGAGAGAGAGTTCCATCCTCCAGCTGCTTACAACGGAGTTCCTTTTCAGTGTAGGTTGGTAAGCTATCTTGTCCAGGTGGAACCAACTGAGGTAGGTGTTGCAACACTGAAACAGCACGAGTCCTTGGGCCAGCATCCCACACAATGTGCGACTGTAGCACAGCAGACACATCCTCCACTGCAACAGACTGGGCATGCATGCGAAGTGGACTGCATGCAGACTGGGAGTTGTTACTGACTGTAGGAGGTTTCCTGTGACCACTGGATGACCGGAAGGCATTTTGGATAGAAGTGCTCGACATGTCTTTGACCACATTCAGAAGGCCAGCATAAGGTTCAGCGAGCAGCCTGCAGCCAACACTCTCGCTGACAAATGGTACACGGCTCAGGGCATCAGCAACGATGTTCTGTTGACCAGGAACATACTTGATATCAAAGTCATAACTCGCCAACTTGGCAACCCAGCGTTGCTCGCAGCAGTCTAGCTTTGGCTTTGTCAGGATATGAGTTAGTGGATTATTGTCTGTCCAGACTGTGAATTTGTGACCTTTGAGCCAGTGGCTGAACTTATCACAGACTGACCATTTCAAAGCCAGAAACTCCAACCGGTGAGCCGGGTAGTTCTTTTGGGACTGAGACAACGACTTGCTGGCGAAAGCGATGGGCCTGGCACGTGTTTCACCTTCCTGTACCTGAGACAGAACAGCACCTATCCCATCAAGAGATGCATCAGTTGACAGCATGAAGGGACGGGCGAAGTCAGGATGAGCCAGAACAACACTCTGAACAAGTGAAGCCTTCAAGTTTGAAAAAGCCTCCTCTTGTTCCCGAGTCCAGTCAGATGCACACAGCTTCCTGCTTGACAGTTTGTTTTTGTGTTGCTTGCCCTTTCTCTTCTCACCTTTCAACAGTTGAAACAGAGGTTGGGCGATGGCAGAATATTTGGGCACAAAGTGCTGATAGTAATTAATCATCCCTAAAAATGATCTTATCCGCTTCTGGGACGGGGTAACACCATCAGTCTCCATGAGGTCAGCGCTTGTGATGTTTGTGATGTTCTCAACCTTACCGGGGTCTGTTGACACTCCATTCTCATCAATTATGTGGCCGAGAAACTTAACAGACCTCCTGAGGAAAAAGCACTTCTTGGGGGCCAACTTTAAGTTGTGGCTACGCAGCCTATCAAACACCATCTTCAGGCGCAACAAGGCAGTGTCTTCATCAGGAGCAAACACCAACAGATCATCCAAGTAGCACAGTAGACTCAGATAGTTTTGGTCTCCAAAGATGCTGGTCATCATACGCATGAAGCTTCCAGGGCTGTTGCAAAGTCCCTGTGGCAGACGGTTATACTCATATAGGCCCATGGGAGTGGTGAAGGCAGAGTATTTCCTGTCGTCCTCATGCAGTGGCATGTTGTAGAAACCGGAAGTCAAATCCATCGTGCTGAAAAGACAGTTGCCTCCAAGCGCTGCCAAACAATCGGCCTGGTGAGGAAGGGGATGGGCATCCTTGAACGTCCTCTTGTTCAGCCAGCGAAAATCCGTACAGATGCGGAGATCTCCGTTCTTTTTCCAAACAAGCACCAATGGTGATGCATATTCACTGGTCGATTTTCTGATGATTTCTTTCTCCTCCATCTCGCTCAGCACCTGGCGAAGTTTCTGGTACTGGCCCGGGGGCACTCTCCTGTATGGAAGCCTGAATGGTCTGCTGTCTGACAGGTGTATGCGGTGTACAAAGCCCTTCGCCTCCCCACAGTCTAGGTGGTGGCGTGAAAAGACATCTTCATACTGCAAAACAAGGTCTGACAACCTCCTCTTACAGTCCTCTGAAACTTCACATGATTCAATGTCAATAGCACTGAGCCCAACCGACCTGAGCTTGTCCTCGGCAGCACTTCCAACAGCAGTAGGTGATGTAGCTGACTGGGTGCAGCTGACCAGTGGAACCTCTGAACACTCAGCAACATCCATGTCCTCAATAGCCACACAGGAGTAGGCATCTGCCAGCTTAGCATTGCGTCGTAATAGCACCGGCCTGTCAGATGTGTTGATGAGCTTCAGTGGCACCCACCTGTCTCCCCACAGGGAAGTCACAATCTTCGCAACCAGAACACCTCTTGGAGCTGAGCGGGATGATGTGGGCTCTGTCACGATGGTGCTGCCTGGGGAAACAGCAGTGTTTTTGGGCAATTTCCCCCAAATGAGATATTCACGGCCAGGCTCGAGGCATGTAGCTGAGTTACATCTGACTGTCCCGATTTTGTCAGGAACATCCTCACCTCTCCAGGGGTTCAGACCAGACAGCATGGACAGGAAATGTTCAGCCTCTGGGTCTCTGGCAGGGCAGGGGCCGGACACTGTCTTCCAATATGACTCACACAGCTTAGACTGATGCAGGATGTGCTTTATAACATTGGTTCCTAGTATCAACTCATCATGTTGTCCTGGAACAACAAGAGTGGGGACCAACATTTTACAGCCATACACTTCCATTTCCACTTCAAAAGCACATTTTGGCTTAACACGAAGCCCACCACATCCAACAAGTACAACATTCACATCCATCAGCTTTTGGTCTGTTATTACCCCGGCGTCTCTCAGTTTTGTCTCAGCTGCCTCACTAATGCTGCAAGCCATTGAACCACTGTCCAACATTCCACCCATTGTCACTGATTCACCCATTATCACAGATGTGTAGAAAAGACTGTCACTGTTGCCCACTCTGTGAATGTTCTGATAAACAACAACTTCAGAGTCATGACATGAGTCTTTCACAGATGTGTAAACTGTCTCAGCATCAAACATGTCATCGGTGTGGGAGTCTAAAGAATGACCTGTACTAACTCCCTCTGAATACAGGTCCTCTAGTTTCCCTCAGACTGGGATTGGGAAGAGTTATTAGCAGGGCAATCCTGTCTGGTGTGGCCTGGAGCAAGGCAGACAAACACAGTCTCTCCGACATACAATGGGAAATGGTGGTGTGACTGGATCCTTTACAGACTCTACAAGCAGCTTCTCTGGGACGCCTGTCTCGCGCTGTGCGCTGAAATCTCCCACCTCGGATGGGCTGAGAAATATTACGTTGCTGCATTTTATCCATCATCTCCTGAAACATGTCAACCATTCGAGTGAGAATTCTCTCCTCTGACTGTTGGAGGTTTTGAGCCACAACCGGGACAGAGGCATGGCTTGGAGTGTGTGGAGACTCACCTTGAAGTGGGACAGGTCCTGGAGAAGAACAAGGAGAATGATGACACCCATGGCGTTGAGCTTGGAGAGAGGAAAGTGAGGGGCTCGAAGCATGGCTTTGCTCTGACAACGCAAGACTTGAAGGTGGTAAAGAGGCCTGCTCAGAGGTGATGGTGGTGATATGACTTTTCAGCTGAGCAACACCAGTTGATCTACAATTAGCCCTCAGCTCTCTCTGATAATCATCAATCCTCAGCTGAACATCGCGTGAGGTCCACTCATGAATTGGCTTACACTTTAAGGTGCAGGACAGCTCTGGATCAGGGCAGTGTTTGACAAACATGAGAGCCACTTCATCATTCATGTTTTCTGTCTGCTTCCCTTGTCTGTGTAGCCCATCAAGAGCCAGGTCCGCTGCCTTGTTCAGTCTTATCCAGTAGTCAACTGGGTTTTCCTTGTGTTTAGGTAGAGTGGCATAAAAGTCTGCAAGAGGGAGACATGAGGGGGCCTCACTGAAATAGTGGAGAAGCACATTGTATATAAGTTCAGGTTTACGTTTAACATCAAGTGCCGGATCACTACGCAGGGCAATCTTCACAACATCTCTGGCCTTTCCCATTAAGTGGCTCATAATCTCTTCTGCTTGGTCATGCACAGGAATCTCTTGTTTTCGGAGATGGGTTTTAGTCATGTCGATCCAGTCCTGGACTGAGTTTTTGTCGGTGTCGTCACCTCTGAATGACTGGAGTCCTTTATCAGATTTAAGATGGACAGTCATATGTGAGAGGTCATGTCTGTTAACATCACAGTGTGTGTTCTGGTTGGGAGAAGTAGTCTGGTGGTCACCAGT